CCAGAAAGACAACCCAACCATGTCCAGAAAGACAACCCAACCATGTCCAGAAAGACAACCCAACCGTGTCCAGAAAGACAACCCAACATCTTGAATACAGTGACCTTCCAACAGTAATCGAATTGACCACCTTTGAAGAGTTAAGCTTTATTGAGATGGGTAATGTATGCCATGATTCGGCAGCTGCAGCAGAATTTTACAAAAAAAAAATGCTATTTGTATTGATAATACACAGATGTGATGAAAAATGCATGGATTGCCGTTATCCAAATTTGTCAAGGCATGCAGATTAATAACACAACCCCCTTAAAATCCACCTTGTGTGACTATCAAGTCTTAAAACAGCGCCCTGCAAGAAAATCATCCAAAGAGGGCTTTGAATACATCTCAAGAATAGTCAGGTGCCAGGGAAAATCATAAAGGTGCCAGACCAGAACCACAAAAACCTGTTCCACATGTCAACAAGTGAAGTACCACAGCAATGAAATGGCCGAAGCATGGAGAAAGACAACCATCTCGGTTCAAAGACCCCTCTTCACTAATATCATACATGTACTTGCTCATGTAACCGGAACAAAATACGGGAGAGTGACTTTGACACTGTAACATGATTACTTTAAAAGTTAAATGATAGAGTGAACTCCAGTTCAATTTCTGTGGGATGCCTAAAACTTTGAGGTATCCAGTGTCCAGTTAAGCAAGGTCCCCAATTGTTTTTTCTGCAACCATATCTCATCTAAACGTACATGTACTTGTACATCTACTGTGTTTCCAACATACCTTGCTTTATCCAGCTCAGTATACACATGAAGTGCGCATAATTTCCTTCTTTAGTTGACTCTAATGGTGCCTTTTTTCAGTCAAAAAATCATGCTCTGTTAATGACCATCCGAAACAGGTCAAATGGTGTTTTAAATCTGTCATCTTGTACTGTCCCACAAGCATGCACCGCCCCACATGCACTTTATGCTCTGGTGTTTTATCGAGAAGCAACTGGGCCAGCGTTAGCGACTGAGCTGACTCGAAAACAAGGTGCCTGCGGCACGCTCACAGGTGTTCAGTGCAGTCACATGACCACTGCACAGAGCCAGCACTTGAACTGCTGAGGTGCGGGCTACCAGCGGGTGAGTGTTGGCAATCAGGCTAAAACTCGAAAGTCAAAATCACTGCAGTTAAGGGTTGGTCACTCTGACTTGTCCAAACACAATGGTAGCATGCACACTGTATCCTGACCTTTGGAGCCCAAGTACAAGGGAACAATGGCTTCTTGAAAAGTTTAGCAATCTGCTTATACCCGCCTGTGACTGTTTCAGAAGCCATTTGCTTTGTATTGGACTAAAACCCCCAGAGTTTTGAGTTATTGAACTGAAATAAGAGTTATACAATATAGCACCCAAATGCTGTAGCTTGACTAGAGAACACTTCTAGAGTTAAAACCCACAACATACACAAACATGACAGTGAAGACACAAAAACACATCCAGACAGGCATGCAAGGGTAGATGTCTCAGTGAGTGGTTTGGGGGTCTGACAAGCGGTTTGGTTACAAGCGAGTCACGACCATCGTCTCACTGTCACCTGCTGGCTTCAGCACACCCTTGTGATCTGACGTTTCCCCTTCCTCTGCATCTCCCTCCTCCCCTGCATCGGACGAGGATCCGAGATCGGACTCCTCACTCTGACCGGGACCGTCACCTTGCTCCGGTGCACTGAGGAGGCCCACCGAGTCGTCGAACATCATGGCTTTCAGGTTGAGGGAGGCCAGGATGGTCTCCTTGTCCTGCAGGCTCTGGTACTCTGAGGTGCTGTCGTTGGCGGACAGGATGACACACATGTCACACTGGTTGACATTGGCAGCTCTGAGGTCGGCACGGCTCAGAGGTGAGCCCTGAAATATAATAACATCAAGTGGGAACCAGAATATACACAATGCTGGCCTATTATATTTACCCCAGTTCGCTGGACTCATGAAAAAGTTCTTTAACCCTAACCCTCCTCAATCCTTCACCTGTTGGAGGATTGAGGAGTGTTAGGGTTAAACTATCTGTGTCAAGCTGTATGCTGAAGAGCATACGGCTTGATGCTGCTGTTCCTGAAGAATGTGATTGGTTCAAATGAAATCACTGCCCTTGAAGGTTAACTCCATCCAGGAGTTTAACTCCTGGATGGACAGAAAAGAAATTTGTGCACAAGGTCACACAGAATATGTGACCGGCTCTAGAAAAATGGGTAATAAGTTGCCAGATTCAGGTTATGGGTTTTTGATATGGCCGAATTGTATACACCAAAAGCTACAATTTGGTATACGAATGACCCCGGTAGTGCGCAGCATTCCGGAGATATATGGACATTTGTATATCCACATTTTCAGATTAAATAAAAGCACTTTTTGAGAAAACGCTCATAAAGTGTAGCACTTGGAAACACAATGCTATGAACAATTTCTTACTGAATGATCAATTTTTCATCTTTATTCATCAGTATCCATGTTTGTAGTCACAAATTCTGAAAATACAAATATTATAGAAGCTATTAAAGGAAAAAACACAAAATCACATTTTTGAAGAAATTTTGCCCTCTCCAAATAGAACGGGCCATAATGTGTTTTGTCATTGCAACTTAATATCCTTTTTTCGCAGAGCGGGTCACATATGTGTCCACATCCACCGAGGCCAGACCCAAGATCTATAGAATTAGACAAGGAATCTTGAATTCAAAGCAGCAGGTTATAGATTGGCGACTGTTGGGTTCAAACTTAAGTGAAACTAAACTCAGCACGTAAGAAAATGATGGAGGTTTAGTAAAACTTCAGAAGCACCTCAAACTGCGATTTGTCGAGGACGTTTCCCTAACTGTACAGTTAAGCCTGCTCATACTCAGTGCACAAGCGAAGTGAAAATGTAACATTTGGATCAACTACAAGTATCCGTGCCGTTAACCCGCAAAAGTTGAACGCATCTCAACTGACATTAATTTCCAGCAAATGTTTTGTGACATCACATTTGCTCTGGTTTTTCTGGGACTACATGAAGCGCATGTCCGAACTGGCGTCAATACTGATTTGCATGTTAAAATCACATAAAGACATGAAAGGAAAGAGAAAAGTAGACTAAAACTTACATCCATGATGTAAACCTTGGGGAAGTTCTTGAGGGTCTGCCACTCCCTGGCGATGTATTGCATGTCACCTAGCAGGACAATCGTCTTCAGCTCCTCCAGATGGAAGTTGCTGGCTCTCAGCGGCATGACAAAGTTTCTCAAGCCGATGAGCGGGGAGTTGCGATTGCCAAACACGCACACCACCACGTGGTTGCACAGGTTTGTCTGCTGGGCCTCCTCGCGCGTCTGGGGAAGCAAAACAGAAACAAGTCCATGCTACCTCTTTTGATCTGTAAAACTAACCATTCAGCCTTTTATCTGTGTCCACGTGCAAAGGATTAGGCAGTGTATTC